GGACTGTTTGTGCAATGACCATCAGTTGTCCTGTTTAAAATGGTTCAAAGCACAATGCATTGCTTCTGCATTTTTTATTTTGCAAGTAACTATGTTCTTTAAGCAACTGGCCAGTTTCTTTACAATAAGAAATGAGTGGGTTGAATTTTGGGTGATATTTAGAAGTCTTCAGTGGCTATCCTGACAGTATTGGAAGAAGCCCACATGTTCCTGGTTATTTGTCTTGGCTTACTATGTTCTCATGCATCCAGCATGAGAGATCCATCTGAGCATCCCAGCATTTTTGTGAGTTTAGTTTGACCATTCTGTGTTTCTAGTTCTTAGAAAAAATTCTTGCCGGGCGGTGGTGGCGCACACCTTTAATCCCAGCACTCGGGAGGCAGAGGCAGGCGGATCTCTGTGAGTTCGAGGCCAGGTTGGACCGATAGCCTCCAAAACAATACAGAGAAACCCTGTCTCGTAAAGACCAAAAAAAAAAAAAAAAGGAAAAGAAAAAAATTATTGATGGCTAATACTTCGTTCATTGAGTTTTGGGGGGGTTTTAAATGTTCTAAATATGCTGCTAATAACCTGAGCAAGAGCTCGATTTAAACAGGCATGGTTTTGAGTGGAAATAAATAAAGCAAACGGTGGTCTGAGGGTGGAGTTGATGGTGGAGTTAAAGGGAGGAGATGCATGGCTCCTAAACAGTTAGCAACAGTCCATTTGAAAAGCTGACACTGTCATTCCTTTTTAGGAAAGGTAGCATTCAGAGTCACACTATGCATTCGGTTGGTTTTCTCAGTCTTGAAAAGAGAAGAAACTCATCCTAGGATTCTCCATATAACTCTGATGCACTTGAAGTAAAATAGAAAATTGTCCAGGACAAGCAACAAAGATCACATGCATACTCCAGGCCATCGCGTGTAACTAGCTTGTGACCCTAAAGACAGAATTTTAGAAGACTCCTCTAAAATCCTTACCTTGAGAAATCTTTTACCATATTTGAGGTTTTCATTTAAAAACAAACAGGAGTATTTCTTTGTCTTTTCCAGTTAGAGATACCAGCAGCCAAAACACCAGACAGGCCACATTTATCTCAGTTCTGTGATCTCAGTAGTCAGCACTTCCCAAACACTAATGGGCAGTCAGACTGACCATCGTCTGGAAAGGCTGATTCTGGCTCAGCAGGCATTTCAAGCAAGTTCGCCAGTGATGCCAATGCTGCTCACCTATGTCACACTCTTTCGTGAGCAAGAAGTCTCTAGCTGCGGATCCAGTTCTCTACATCCATTGCTCAAAGTGCTTCCCAACGGCCCCTCCCATTTTCTCTCATATATAGCCATAAGCCACTCCGTGCCCCACTCCCTTAAACCTAAAACTAACAGACTGCAATCCACCACCAATTTTGGGTAAGAAGAAAAACTTTATTCTTTGAAATGATCTTAGGTTTACTACAGCCGGGTTTTAATGTTTCTTTGCTTTTGCGATGCTTAACATTCGATGTTTATAAGTTGCGAAGTGGATTACAAGTAATGAATATGGATGATTTGCATCTGTAGCCTAGAGCCAGGCTAAAGCTATTACAACATTGCTTTCAAGAGATGAAACCAGAGTTAGACACTAAAAATTTCACCATCACAGCCCAGGCAATAATTGATGCCAAGCCTGTGTAGACCTACTCATAGCTTCCTTGAATGTTTGGAGTTGAGAACCACTTCCTTCTCATTATCCTTTGTGGAAGCAAAGTATGGGATGATTCAAAGATGAGCAAAACCATGGATCAGAAGGATTTGTTGGTGAGAGAGATTCAGAGATTTCTACATGTTAGCCAGCGTGTGTTAGCAGCTGGTGTTGCTCATTTCCAATAAAGAGAAGTTTCGTAACAATTCCTAAAGTGGGAGCCAACTGAGCAATGCTGAAAAGGTCTGGAAACTGATTTAGCATTTAATAAATTTTGTGTACCTAAAGGTAATCCAAAATTGTCATTTCAGTTTTTAAAGTTATTACTATATTTATTTACTTAGCCTGTGAAGTGTGTATGAGCGTGTGTGTGCGTGTGTGCGTGTGTGTGTGTTTGTGTGTGTGTGCGTGCGCATACGTGCACACAAATGAGAGAGCCATGTGAAGGCTAAAGGACAATTTGTAGAACTTGGTGTCTCCTTCCACCATGCGGGTCTAAGGCAAGTCCTCTTACCTACTGAACAGTCCAGATGGCCCATTTCCTTTGTAATGGAATGAAACTAACACTTTCTGAACATGCTACTATTAAAAAATCATAAAAGGAACAAAACTGGATGCAGTTATTTTTCTTTCTCGCTCAGTTTACTTCAATAATTTATGTATTCCTTTACTGTTCTGTGTGGAGATTGGATGAAACAAAATGTGTTTTTGAGTTACTGTTTAGAGAAAATAACACTAATTGTGGGAAGAAACACTCTAAAACTCGGAATGAAATAAAAGACGCAATGCCAGATAACAGCCTCAGCTTGTTTCTGTTTACCTATGATATTTAATGTGAAAAACATGACATGGTCTCCATTAGGATTTTTCATTTCTCATTGCACACATAACCCAAAACGGATTCCTTCCACCCCTCTTTTTACATGTAACACTGGAAAATAATCTTTTAAATGTCTGCAGCTCTATAGGTTTTATAAGGACAAATGAGGAACTGCAATTGTTTTGGAAAGACTTTGATGTTTTATTCATCATTTATATTTTTTCATTTGCTTCAATCTTATCTTCTCTAAGACATTTTGAAAATACTCTCAGATATTCCTACATCACCACCTAGTTTTAACAAACGTTAGCACTAAGCATAGATATCTCTTATGTTGTCTTTTAGTTTCATCCACTAAAAAGAAATATTTCCTAAAAATCACATTTAAAGTCTAATAAACTGGCAGCGTTACTCAGCAGTTGGGTGAATGGCCAACACTGAAATATTTGGCACATTCCAGTCAGAAGCTCAACAGAACTTTAATGGAAGAGACGAGTGTGTCTCTCCTATGCTTCGTGCATCATTTCCGTGTTCAAAACGATGGTGCCATCATCTGTACTTGTTTGGGGACAAATAATTTGTGTGCCTGGCTCAAAGTCTGAAAGGCAGATGTGTGCTTTCCTTTACATTGGTATTTGTTATTTGAAATGTATTATCTCTTCTTTGACTACTTTCTGTTCAAAGTATCATGATACATAATTTTGCATAAGCAATTAGGGAATCTCATCTATGCTACTATTTTAGGTGTCTGTCTCAAACCTTTAAAATAAGTTCCACAAATGAAGTACTTGCATTTACTTATCTATTGGGTATTCTGACACTCTTTACTGGTGGGATTCATATAAAAGGATTTTTTCTATTTCATCAAAAGTATCATGTTAAATGGCTACCAACATCTGGTGGTATCATGATTCAATAAATAAATTTAGAAAAATACTTTTACACTTCTAAGAATGCTTTTGGGTTTTCTATAAATAGATTTAACTACATGTTTCTCCCCAAACAAATACTTAGCTCTTTCTGGGTTCACATTTTAAGGTGTGCTTTTCATCATTTGGAGTATTTGATTTTTCTTGTGCACAATGACTATAAACTTGAAAACTAATTTTCTTGCAAAAAATTCCAGGACTATTTCAATAGTGACGATGTGTTTAATTGTTGATTCCTATTTCTTGATCAAGGTAGCCAAGATAGCTTGAGGGTTTTCAGTTTTTAAAGTGGGGGTCCTGAATCAGAGCCATTCTAAGTGAAGCATAATGATTCCTACTATTGTGTACTGATTCCTATTAACCATTAAGCAGCACCTATCTCCTGACATATAACTTCAGTGTAGGAGAGAGAGAAACATTTTATGCACCTGCTTTGTAAGGAAAAATTAAACTTGAGCTCATACAGAAGTCTTGGACCCAAATATATGCTCACGTTAGTGCAGTTTGTGTAATAAACTAATCTTACTTGACTCACCTTTTCTATAGTTGGCTAAGCAATGAGTACCATTTCATTACTGAACATCTGGTGATTAATTTTCGGTCCAGCCCGGCCTCGAACTCACAGAGATCCGCCTGCCTCTGCCTCCCAAGTGCTGGGATTAAAGGCATGCGCCACCACCGCCCGGCCCTGGTGATTAATTTTCACCTGGGTTGAATAAATAATTTTTACACTGAGATGTTATCACATAACTAGTGAAATATCGCTGTGAATCCCACTTGTATCCTTTCTGCACCTCACCTGTAGAATTTTTTGGGGTTGGGTAATGGAGCCTTTGCTAAAACGTAATTGAATTTACTTGCACGAAGACAATTTCCACTCTCTTACATCGGGATAAAAGGCCTCATGCTGCGCTTGCAGAGACCACAGACAATATATATATATACATCTGTATTTACTTGAAAATTTTCAGGATAGGCAATTTTGCCTCTACCTTCAGGTCATTGAAATTTAGTTAGAAAGGACTAGGGAAGCACACACTTCTGCTTGTACGCTTTACTATTAAACACGAATCTCCCGGGACAGTAAAAATGATGTTCTTGGAGGCATGGCAGTGCAAAGGGAACGTTCATCCAAAGGAAAGGCTACTAGAGAGGTTCAGAGCGCCCAGCCCGCTCTAAAAAGAGCAAAAGATCTGGGCCTGCATAGGTACCTGGGAGAAAAAAAAACCGTCCCGGAAGTCCTCGAGGCTGCCAGGCTCCCGAATATTAGGGATGGGAGAACCCCCACCCCCGAGTGGCTTGAAGGCCATTTAGACACCCCCCAGGGGGCGCCACCCTACAAGGTTTCGGAGGACCCCTGCCAGCATAGCCGTCAGTATGTCCTGAGTGCTCTGGTTCACGCAGGTGGCGGTGCGGAGGCTGCAGCACGGACGTTGAGCATCACATCGCGTCCCTTGCCCAGCCGCGGCGCTGGGGAGCTGCGCCGAGTGCTACCAAGGCTGGCCGGGCGGAGGCGCGGCCGGGTCCCCCTCGGGGCGGGGCCAGGGCGGGGCGTCGGGCCGTGCGGCAGGTGTGGGCGCGCGGAGGTGGCACAACCCGCTGCGTCCTCGACCTGCGCACAACGCGGGACGAAGAGGCGCACGCGGGGCTCCGGGAGACCACAGGTAAGCGGGCGTGGGCGCGGGCGAGGGCGAGCACCCGGGGGACGAGGGACGAGGTGGCCCCCGCAGGGCGCGTGGGGAGCGGAGCGCGGTCCTGCACAGTCACCCGCGCTCGGCCACAAGCCCGGGTCGCCGTGCGCGCTCCTCGAGCACGCGGGAGCCGGAGCGCGGTGGCCACTAGCACTCTCCGCTGGGGCGGCCCCCACGCACCGCTTCAAACTCCTGGTGCTTGGAAACTTCCAGGGATCCTCCGGGAGATGGAGGTGGGGGAAGAGTGAACCCAAATCAGGCGCTCGAGGAAAACCCTCACTAGGACGGATCGTCTGCTTTTAGAGCGGCGACAGTGGGGAAAGGATGTGCCCAATACCCCCGACCCTCCTCTCGGTGACCCTACTGAAAGCCCCCGCTCCTCTAGGGAGACAGCTGTTGCAGGGCTCTCTTAGGCAGTGGCAACGCAGAAGGCAGCGAAACAGGCACAAATGCCCCCCCCGGGACAGCTTTGTCCCTCCCCGGAAGGCAATAGGACTAGGAATGGGGGCTCAGAACCTGCACCCGCTGTTGGAGCAAGTGTCTGTGGCTCAGACCTGACACCTCCTGCCTGGGGGCGCCTTGTGGAATCCGACTCCGCCGGCCTTTCAGCTTCCTCATTGAAGTCTTGGCACCTTAGAAGTGGAATTAGGGTAGGAAAAAGAAATGAAAGCTTTCTGTGCGAAGTTTATTATTACCTGTGGATTAAAATGCTTGGTGGGCAGAAGTTTCGACAAGGCTCAGTTTTACAATTTGTTTGGAGGAAGTTTTGGTTGACTTAAGTTTTGTTTGAAGTGATTTAAAAGTGACTCTCAACTTTAGGTTTAGTGAGTTTGTGTTTGGTTGGAGTGGGGGCTAACTTTTAAAGTGGTTTTTCACTCTTATTCTGGTCACTTTTCAGTATCTTCAGAGTCAGTTCCGTAGACAAGACCTTTATCTTGATTTTTATCATGAAAAAGGGGGTCAAAATAATAATGTTTAGTCGTCTTACTACCAAAGAAGTAATATAGTTACTCTTCTTTTTCCTTCGTAATTTGTGCAGAGCCTCTTGCAAACTAGGTTGGGCCCCAAATCGGCATTTTTGGTTTGTGATTAATAGATTTTTTGGGGGGGCTTCATGGAAGTTTTTTTTCTTTACATCATATTAGGTCTTTATTATATATGTAGCTTATTGGTTTTGTGGTAGATGTGACAGAAAGCACTTGAAAAGTATCAAGTAGAATCTAGGTGAAGTTTTGTAAGTTCTGAAGAGCGAGTAGTAGTGACAAAATACTTGTCTGACATGGGGTTGGCTTGTTTTCAGATTTTAAATAGGTTATTATAAGAACAGAGCTATGAAATGTTTAATATTTGGATATGTTTGTAAAATAGAAGTGGAAAAAATGGAAAGCAAAAACAATTTTCCTGTGTATCATTTTTCTCTCAGTTTGAAACAACTCTCTTAATTTGGCCCAGAGTTGAAGCTACAGTTAAAAACAGTTGTTAACTATTTAGGGTAATTACAGACCATTAATTGATTTACTTTAATTATATTTTTCTTCAGTGATAGGTTTTGTAGGATGTATTTTGCTGGGGATATTGAGATTAAATACCATTAAATTTTCCATAGTTGTCACAATTTCTATTCATTCCTTGTGTCTAAGTATTTTTAGCCTCTGAACATTGTGGAAGTTCTTAAATCTAAACTGTAAAAAGGCTAAAATGTAGTCACTGATTGTTAACATTTTAGGATAAAGTATAATATTAAAAGATAATATAGAATGAAGACATTTAAGGACCGATATTCTCTAATCATAAATAAGAAAAGACTCATAATAAATCTTTAACATCTTCTTAATGTAACTAGGATGAGTGCTTAAAAGTCACCTCTAAAAGTTTCAAAAGTTTTAATGAAAGAGGAAACTTTGTTACAACATAGTTCTGTAATGTAAGGGGGGAAAAACTGTTGAGTCTAGAGTAGATGCAGCCTAAGGAAGAAATGGTGAAATTGGATCTTTGAATTGTGAGCTATACCTTCACTGGGGAGCTTTTTTTAAATAGTGGCAATACATGTGTAGAAAGATCAGTTACTTCACTTGTACATGTAAGCGCCCTAAGATGCTTGCTGGGCTGGCAGAGTCTCCGGCTATTTTTCATTTCATGCTTTTCTATGAGGGAGACCCTAGAGAGTTATCAAAAAAAAAAAACTGGGAGGAAGTTTGAGATGAGTTGGAAAACTCTAAGCATGGCTATGGGAAAAATGTGTGTCGGCTTTAGCAGTAAGGAGGGTAAAAGGTGAAGTTTAGGCTCTAGATTTACGTGTTGATTATTGTATAATCAACATTTTAGCAAATATATAGTTATTGCATGCATGATATCAGACCTGGCGGGGGTGGGGGAAATCTCATCTAAAATCCTTGAAACTTTGATGATGACTTTATCAAATATGCTCTGGTTTGTATTTTCTAGCTGTTCCTAGCTACTAAGCACTTGGAGCCAACTTACACATTCCACAGAATTAACTAAGTGGTTTCCATTTTAAGAGAAATACTCTTATTTAAATAGCACCACTCTATTGAGCAAAACAACAGCTCTGGTACCTTAAAAATATGCTTTTAGCAGGGGAAATACAACTTATATTGACTGTCAGTGCTCTTACTATGAGTACTTTTGGCCCACTTTATATTTCTGTATTTGTGCTGCCTTTGACAGATCAGTCCAGTGCTACAGACTTTGGAGAAAATTAATAAAAACAAGCAACTCGTATTGATCCTTTTTCTTTCATAGCCCCGAACTACATGAGTTCTGGCCCACAAGAGGTCTTAGAGTTTAAACTCAGCCCTTGACTGATTCTGAGAGCTGGCAGTAGAGACAGGAGTCAGCTCTGGCATTTGCAAAGCGCACTTCATGTTCTATACAGCAAATCAAGCCCTGGACTCTGTAGCCCTGTCCATCTCAGCCCCACTTCCTTTCCCTGGGCATAACAACTGGAGTTAAAAGACTTAGATCCAAATGGGAAAATTAGTGTCATTTGTGTATAGGCAGTAGCCTTATTCAAAGTGCTTTCAAACTAATTGGGGAGAAAAATCAAGACATAGTGGGATTTAATTTTAAGTCCTCCAGGGTGGGAAGTGTGTAGGAGTCTGTGGTTCAAGAATACATTTAGTTAATTTACTTTTTCCATTTATTCTGAGTTGTTTATAGCTTGCATTGTAGTCTCTCTCTCTCTCTCTCTCTCTCTCTCTCTCTCTCTCTCTCTGTGTGTGTGTGATTTAATATTATACAATTTGGAAGATTGGAAAACTATAATAAAGTTGTAAATTTTAGTTTTCAAGTTGGTCGGTGTAAGTTTTCTTCTGTTGAGGTAATTCTGTGATGACTTGTCTTCATTATGTTTTAAGTTGGTGTGCTTTGGAAGTAATTCCGATTCTGAACCAGGATGGCAGCAAAGGGGAGAAAAAAACCTCACTGTGTCTAAAAGCCAGTCTAACCTGCACTAGATATCTTTAGTCATCTCTGTCAATTTCAGATGGACTTTGGCCATGTTAATAAATTGAATATGTATTGAATAACTTAGAGAGTTCAGCCCAGAAAGTCATGCTTCAGAACTTGTGGGCCGGGTGATTTTGTTCTAACCGATTTAAATGTGACATGCAATATCCAGTCAAGACCTATATTGTTATACATCTAAGTTGGAAACTGTTTAGAATCTAGGGTTTTAGTGACGGCTCAGGACTGATAGCCAAGAAGTCAAACTAATGAGATCTACTACTTAACAAAGTCTGAGATTGTTAAACTACAGTGCACCCCTTTTATAAAGTCACTATTGAATCACCTGTGGATTTTGTTAGGATTTTCTTGAGCCTGGTCATTTAGTGATTATCTCAACTCCATTAACTTCATTTTTTGTGAGTCTTAAATAAAAACAGTGAATTTGCTTTGCATCACAAAGCCCTGGGTCCAATCCCCAGCACTGAAATAAAACAAACCAGATTAAAAATAAGACCCAGTAGCAGTGGGTGAGTGGAAGTCTCAATTCTTCCGCTCTACACTGTAAGTGGAGTCTTTTAAACTAGGATCCCTGTAGCTTTAGACCAGGACTTTAACATTCTGTTTGGTTATCCTGTTGCCTGGTGTTTCCCATCCTAGTCTGTGCTGTGTTGTAACTCACAATGGTTTTCCTTTCTTTGTGGATAGAGTGTGGAACTTAACTAAGCTTTAAAAAAGAAAAAAAGAAGTAAACCCCAGTTTTGAGCCTGGCAAGTAATTCCAAAGCAACACTTTGTACTTAGCCCGTAGTGACAGATTAAAGCCACTAGCTTTATTTTTTGTTACGTTGTTTTTTGTCTTTGGAACTGGGATTAGGGTGATGTTTTAGGTGCAGCATGTGTACGCAAAGAAAAAGTTTGGATTATTCCAAAGTAAAATTATACCTAGATTGGTGTGTGATGACTGGCTTCTAATTGCTCCTAATCATTAAGTAGTTAAAAATTTTATAACATTTTAACTCTGTAGACAAATATGTAGTTTTATATAAAAGGAAAATTTCACTTAAGTCCTCTTGATCTTATTAGATATTAAGCCAAATTTGCCCTAAGACGTTTTCTTTCAGCGATTTATCATTTCCAACCAGCAGTAACTGAAAATATTTTGATGAAAAAGAGAAACACATGAAAATAGTATGAGAAAGATGTAAAATAGAGATCAATTGGATTAATTTTTAAAGAATTAAGTCTTTCATTATTTTTTTCCTGTTTGTGGGTTTTCAAGTTCTGAAGTAATGGCACAGAATGAATTTGAAAGAGCTACTTTCCTTTACAATAAATGTGCTTGATAATTGTTCAAAGCTACTGTCCAGAATTTCCTGTTTTGTTTAACACTTGATAAAAACAATAAATCAAAATGGAAAAGTGAGTCTCAGGGAAGAAACAAATTTGTTTAAAAGCCAGTCTTTGTTTTGATGAATTCATTTTACCAAGCAGAACTGTTAGTAGTTGTTTTTTTTTCTAAATTAGAAGCAATAATAAATCTGTGTATTTAGAAAACACTGTTAAGATGACAAGGCTTAGCACTGATTAGCTAAGCTACAAATAATTCATGCTGAAAATATTAAAATGTAAATACGGGCTAAGTCATTATTATTTATTTGTAATTCAGAACTCATCTCCAAATATTAACTAAGAATTGCCTTCTTGACTAGGCAGGGAATGAATCAACTTCATCCAAAACTTTTTGTCAACATCCAATAAAATACGTGTCTCACCTGTCTTAGTTGCCAAAGCAGTACTGACTGCAGCAGTTACCTGCATCTGTGAGTATTTCCTGTGTGCTGCGATTGTCTGCATCATGGGAGACCATCTCCATAGCACTGGTGACTTAGCTCAAATGATTGTTTCTGTGTTACGGACTAGAAAACTGGCCCGGCAAGATTAAAGATGCCAGCAATCTCCTAAATGGTGCAGCCGCCTCTTTTGACCCTGGTGTTTCCTCTCCCATCTCTGCTTTGGATTTTCTATATATCATGAAATTAAGGCAGATTATTTGTGAAGCTTTTTAAAAAATGGTTTGAGAATCATTACAGTGTGCGTATTCTTTTCTTTCTTGACTATAAGAACTGGCTCAAGCTCATGTCCACGTCTATCAAGATGCAGGAAATAGGCTTACGTATTTGCTTTTATGACCAAAAAAAAAAAAAAAAAAAAGGTGAGGTGGTATGTGAGGGAATCAAGTCTACTGTTTTAAATGGATTGTAAATTGTCTGTGGAGATTACTCCATGAAAAACATATGGGAAAATGTCCCCCTGAACCTTGACAAGTGAATAAAAGGATAACTTTTTTGTCTTTGAAAGTTCTAATGGGTGTGTGGGTTACAGTGAGTATCAGGGCTGGTGAGATCCTCAACATATAGAGGTGCCTGCTGCCTGTGTTCTCAGTGCTGTCCCAGAACCTGAGTGTTGGAGAGAACTGACTCTCACAAGTTGTCCTTTGACTGTCACATGGAATCATGGCATATGTGCATCAACACACACACACACACACACACACACACGACTTCAGGTCCTGCAGTAGTTGGACTTAAGGTTCTTACCATTTCTTCCCACTGGTATCTATCTGACATAGAACAGTGGTTGTACAAGTGAGTTTGTATTTTGTGGTGGCTTAAAATTTTTGTACAAGTGCAAAGACCCCTCTCAAGGCTAATGTTTTGTTGTGTCTGAAACTCAGTGTGGGAGGGACGTGGTAAAACAGAAACCTCTGACTAAAGAGTGGACAGAGCTTGCAGGCTAAATAAAACACTGATTGCAGTGCAGGGGAGAGCTTTAATATATATGAATATTAATGTTTGCCTGGAGTTAGAGATCAAAATAAATTTGAGGTCAAAACAAAAAATGTTAAAGGAAAGATTAGATAATTTAAATTAAAAAATAAAATGTAGATTAAGTCTCATAATTATAAGTGAAATTTAGACAGCAAAAATACTTAGAGCTTTCAGGTTTTTCATTTGAGTACCTGTTTGATACTCTCCATTTCAGGAAAGTGATGCCTCGGTGAGGGTTTGAGAGCATGGGTTTTGGGGAAAAAACACCCTAAGGACAACCAAACCAAACACAAAAGACTATTCTAGGCTGGTTTGCTAATGGAAAGCCACTGTTTCTTTTTGTGTTTGCCTATGGAAATTAGTGGCTACTCAGAAACTTACAGCTCTGGAAGAAAACACTAACATAAGCAATATTATTATCAGAATTGAATTCCCAGAGCACTGGAACTCCAGTGTCAGGGACAGGAGGATCTGGGTAGGATCCAGTCAGCCAGGATATCTAAAGGCTGGTTTCGTGTTCAGCGGGAGACCCTGTCTAAGAAATAATAATAATATTAGAACAATAGAAGAAGATAAGATACCTAACATATCCTTTGCCCTGTGCATATGTGGTCTTGAACACATGCGCCTGCACACACATGTGCATCACCCGCCTCCATACATGCATGGGCATGTGTGTGTGCTCGAGCATACACACACACACACTCAGAGAGAGAGAGAGGGATAGAGAGAGGGAGAGAGAGACAGAGACAGAGAGACAGAGACAGAGGGAGAGAGAGGGAGAAGAGATACAGAGAGAGAGAGTCAGAGAGAGAGAGACAGAGAGTCAGAGAGAGAGAGAGACAGAGAGTCAGAGAGATAGAGAGAGAAAAAGAGAGATTTTTTTCAAATCTGGAGGGGCCCACATTATTCTCTTTTGGGTTAATGGTTATCGAGGTGAGGGAAGGTAAGCCTCCTGAGAAGGTAAATGGACAACTCAAGAATCTATAACTTCGTAGTCTTGCCTTTCTAACACATCATCTTCTCTTTGGGGTGTTTTTTTCAAAGCTCTACATAGAATTTACTGGTCACATCCCTTTTAAAAACTGGATGAAATAGGTTTCACTTATTAAAGCTTTTAAATAAAGCTCAGCATTTGGCAGCACTTGATTTCCTTGAAGGGGACCTGAGTTTTGTCCCAGCATCTGCATAGATGCTCACAACCATGTTTTTTCTCTCCAGTTTCAGAGGATCTGATGCTGTCTTCTGGCCTTTGTGGGCACCAGACATTTATGTGGATGTGCAGGAAAACACTAATAAATATAAAATAAAAGTAAATGTTTCGATAATTTCTATATTATATTTGTTTTTTTCTTCACCAGATTCAAAATTCATTTTGCCACAGAGTACCCCCTACCCCTAGTCCACTTAATAAGTGGGCCACACCAGAGAATACATCTCTGCAATGTTCTCCACTTATGTGATGCAGATATAACAGCTTTCATTCATTATTTACAACGCCAAAGGGTATTCTAAATCCTTCACATAAAGCAGACCAGGGCTCACAACAGCCCATCCACCCAAGCAGACGCTCTTACTCTCTGTTTACAGATGGGAGAACTCTGTAGCATAGGCTTTCAACCTTGGTCCTCCTCACATTTGGGCCATGTAGTCTGCCATAAGATGTCCCCCATGTATGCATTGTACGGTGTTTAACACCATTCCTGTCCTTCACTCAGTTGTGTCAACCAAAAGCGCTTGAATTGATCCTACTTGAGAATAACTATTGTAAACTTGTAACAGAAGTGTACTTTCTTGAAAGACCTTCTTAGTGACATTTACGATGACCCATGGTCACGCCTGGGCAAATTACACACTGCAGACCCTGTGTCTACACCAGGCACAATGCACTTGTGTGGGGCGGATGTGAGTTAAACTTAACCCCTACTGGTCTGCTCTACGGCATTCCCTCACATTCATTCCATTGTGAGCTAAAGACTGCAACTGTTGACTCTGCTTCTAACTTCTTCTAATTGCTCTATGCACTCGTCCCCAATTCAGGTACTGTTTGTTTTCTGTGCTTCCCCTTGGACTGGACCCATCATACACACACACACACACAAACACACAACCTTAATTTTCTCTGTGTAATAGAGAACTTAATATATCTGAATTGCTTCACAGTAAGAATTTATGTCTCAGCCAAGACTTGCAGCTGCCAAGAAAAACATACCCAGTAATGAATAACTCACAAAGATTTGGTAAAGAAAAAGGAAAGTCATATGATGAAGTATATTACTGAGATATTGAGTTTTGTTTATTCAGTGTGATAACCTGTTAGATTCACACAAGTCAAGCGAGTTTGAAGCTTTTAGTTATTGTTTCTTTGTAATTCTATATTCTATTTTCAGGAGCAGCTGGGAGGGGAGTAGAGGTTGAAGAGAGAAGGCGGAGAGTGGGGACAGGGTTGAGATTGATTGATTTAAATCCTTGCCTTGCCAAACATGCTAACCATGTGACCTGTCTCCTCCTCTTTCCCCTAGGGCTTGGCTTCCCCACCAGTCAAATGAGACAACGGTGTGAAGCTGATCACATTGCTGAAGAGTTGAAATGAGGGGGTGTGCGCTAGTATCCACAGCGTGTCCCTGCCTGTAAGTTTCCCGTTTTCCTTCTTGGACCAGCTTATCTGGTGACTTTGTCGTCATGATCTTTAGGTCTAAGCCAGTTGTCTTGGAGAGAAATAGCTACTAGCAAGTACCTTTGTGTAGATGACTATTAGAAGGCATGGCCTGGAGAACAGGGGGTCTACACAGTGCTTGAGATTCATATTTAAAGTTAGTAGTGTCACATAGGGAGGGATAGAAAGGATCACAAAGGGTCTATGGAGCTGAAACTCACCCTGTGATTCCACTTTTAGCCAACATTTGAATGCTGTTCCGTGCTGGACACTGCAAACCCTGGACATGTAGAGAGGACACACAACAGAAGTTAGCAATTCTGTCCTTATTCCCTGGCTCCTTAGTAATTAGTGGTCATGTGATTCCTTTGTACCAACTCTGTCCAAGTGATACTTGCTGCTGAGAACACTAGTCTGGCTGAACCCAGAAGGAATGTGGGGATGCATTAATGCTATCTGCCGTGGGAAAGAGATAAAGGCAGTGACACACAGGATTTGATCGTCCTCTGCTACAGACTTTTAACATGAGGAGATGACCCATTAGGATATCATGAAATCAGATTTATCGGTCACACTGAGTGTTATCCAAGAAATGAAAGAGGAGGAGATAGAGAAATGTTGACGTGGATTGTTCATAGTGACCTATTGCTTTGTGAAACATCGTTTTGGTTGTGTACACATCGGTACTAGGTCACAGTGTAGGAGACCTTTCTTACAATGATTCCCATGAACAATGTACCCCCCTTTTGTTTTTTGGAATTGCATACACATTTGATAGTTTAAGTCCTATTAATAGGACCTTCATCATTTGGAGTCTGCTGTTGTGAACACATCTGTGTAGAGAATATGTAACCCAGTAAGTTCTTTGAGGAGGCAAATGATCACACGTTTAGACACCTAGGCCCCAGAGTGAAGTATTCTCATTTACAGTCACAAGGCCTGATTATCCTATCACACACACAGCAAGAATTTATGGAAAAAGCATCAGAGTTAAGCACAGAAGCAGTGCCATATATCACGTGCTGGGAACGTGTCTACTGCGAGGGATTGGGGGCCACAAACGCCATTTGACCATTTGACCTAGTTGCTGGTTCTGTTTATTCTAGAAGTGTAGAGAGAGAAGTGAAACCCAACAGTTAGGGTAAGAAGGGTGCTCACGGAAAGGGAAAGTGTCTGGAAACCTTGAAGATTGACGGCTGAGACTGGGAGGCTGAGAAACTAGATAAGAAAGGGCCACCCTGTAACAGAACTGGGTTTAAAACTGGATCTACTTTGCTGCGCCCTTGGCAGAACACTGTACTCTTGGATCCTTAATAGTCACGCATGTGAAATGTACGTGGCAGCAGACTTCACAGGGTGATGATAAACAGAAAGTTTACATGTAAAGTATCCATTGCATCCCGAGTGGCTGGATGCCTAGTTATTCCCGAACACTAACCTAGCTAGAGAATGCTAGTGCCTTAGTTGCTTTTCTGGGGTCTTGAGAAAGCACCATGTCCAGGGCAGCTTATACAATAAGGCATTTAAGGTTAGAGTCCGCAGTGGTGGATTGAAAGCATGGTGGCAGGCACAGCTGAGAGCTTACATCTCCATCCATAAGCAGGAGGCAAAGAGGATACTAGGGACGGTGTTTTTGCACCTTTTGAAACCTCGAAGTCTACCCCAGTGACACACCTCCTTCATTAAGGCCGTACCTCCTAATCCTTCCCTACAGTTTCACAGACTGGGCACTGAGTATTTAAGTCTATAAGCTTTTGGAGGACATCCTCATTCAAGCCACCAGTCAGACTTGAATTTTTCAAAGCAGTTTCCATATAAACACCCTTGGAAACAGATGGAAGATGAAAGTGTCAAAAGCAAACCTTGGTTGCAAAGCCGTTTCGTTTGCTACACCCTGACTGTGCGCTTGTGACTCGGGTTTCTCTTGGTTGAGGGAATGAAGGAGTTCACCGAGGGCAGCCTCCCAAGTCTGCGGACTGCTCATTCCGTTTCTGTCACAGCCCCGTGCACAGTGACGTATCACGTGCACACATTTAGTGTGGGTCTGTCCTTTCTTATACGCTAGGGGGTGTTCGTGGTGACTTGTTTTTGTTTCCCTGAGTTAAGTAAAGCAGTTCTACTATCCAGTCTGGGCAAATTACTGGATACCACCCCCAAAATAGCTGTTCCTCCCACAGATTGTCAGTCTCCATCTCCCAAAATTAGTGGCCGTAAACCCTCTCACTACAGTTGCTGAAAGCAGGACTTCAAGAAATAATCCACAAGTGAGGCACAGTAAGCAAGTTGCATATGAACAAAGACCAGTGTTACCTTTGTCCAAGAAGTCCTTGTTCCGGCGTGCGGTTTATTAAATCTCAGAGAAACTGACTTCGGAGAAGGGGTCCCTTTTAACAAAAGAAGTTCATTTGTCTTAGAGGGAGGATCAAACCAGAGCTGACCATACTTGTCCGACTCCAATATATGTCAATTGCTAACCACGTGTCACACCTCTGTCTACGAATGGCTTTTGTGTGTGTTTTCTGTTCTGCTCTTGGGAGAATGGCATTAACACGTCCAGCAATTCATAGCAGCACTAGACTTTTTACATGAACATTTTCTGCTTGGTCAGTTAAGAGTCTAAAACACAGGGTACTTAAGAAAGACTTCAGAATTGCGGTCCTCATATAGCCCTTCAGTTACCAAGAGCACACTCCTGAGGAAGAGGGAAGGTGTTGGTGGCCCAGTAACATAGCCACAGATATTTTGATAGACCTTGGAATCCTTTACTCCATTAATTTCCAATTTGGAATGCTTTCAATAATTAAACCTTGGAAACAAATACTTTGCCCTTTATGAGCTATTGACTTTTAGAAGCTGATTTTACATACATACATACATACATACATATATACATACATTCACATAAAGCAGAAGGGTGTTCAGAGGAATTTCAGAAATACTTGGAAGAGGTGTCATAATGTGTAATGACTTGATAACCTTAAACAAATGCATGGATAAATAAAAAAAGCAAACTAACTTTTTGGAAGGTTACTCAGCCCAAAGACTTGTACATAGCAGAAATGCTAGAGAGTGAATGGCTGTCTACCCTCAGCACAATTTTAATTTTCCTGCAAGGAAATTACTATATTTTACTAGAATATAATAGCACTAGTCTTATATGTATTGGATCCTTCGGCAATTTTTCTTTTGAAATACTATCTTTTAAAAGTCTTTAAAAATCCAGGTGTGGTGACTCATCCCTGTAATTCTAGCACTTGCTGAGACATGGGTTTACTGTAAGTTCAAAGCCAGCCTGGGGTAGAGAGTGAGTTCCAGGCAAGCCTGTAGAATAAGACCTGTCAAACATGTCTAAATTGGCTATGTTATTGATCAACTCTCGCCGTCAGTCTCAATCATGGTTCTTGATGACCTGACCTACAATAATGGAGCTTGTAGGTTGGGAAGCAGAGAGTACTGACTGAGGAAAGGGAGCTGGGATAGGGGATGCAGCCCACCTCTTCTGATTTGTAGTTTTGGGAAGCATGGCTGGGATAACAGGACCTTGAGATTCAGAAGTGAGTCTTCAGACCACACACAGTTTCCAGTCCATTGCCTTGTGGGGCAGTGTCTCCTCCGTGATCAGAGCAGTGTACTTACATATGCTTACGCTGTGAGTTGGGGGGTAATACAGTGTCTAAAGTACATTCGGTTTTCTTGGGCCTATGGGGTTGACCTTACAGTTACTTGAAAGAAAATATAGATTAATTATATTTTGACATGATTGCGAAAACAAAAGCATAGTCATGAAAGATTATAGAATGGCAGCGTCTGTGGTTTTAATTTTACCTTAGAATGTAGATCTGGGCATAGAACTTAGTGGTAGAGAGCTTACCCAGCATGCACAAGGTCTTGGCTTCAATGCCCAGCACAGAAAAAAAAAACATAATTATTCTAGACACTTACATTTATCTTCAAAGTGTTTGCTGAATATTAATTAACTTTTTGAAACTTTAAAGGAACTCCAGCCAGCTTTGCCTTTTTGTACTGAATATTTCACTGAAGGCAGGTGGTTTAAAATGGAGCTATAATTGAGCTAAAATAGAACTATTAAAATATCCTTATTAATAAGATGCCTGGGCTTCAAAGAGGAACGATCTAAGTGGGGTAAAGTAATGTGCTTCTAAGAAAATAATTTGGTTCATACTGAAGAAAACTGACTATATTGGCTTGGCCAAATAAAACCCTTTAGTAGTAAGTAAAATAGACAGGGTTTGATTTGATTCATCATGCATTATTGAGACTGTGCGATGACCCTTGACCTGATGTGTGCAATAAGTATTTCTAGACTTTGGACCATTACTTTATCCACAGTTAGCTTGAGAAATAGCTAAAGGCAACGAGTAGGTTCAGAGTTAATTCATCCTAATCCCTCCTAAAGATTGGCCTAAAACAGCGCTGAAAAATGTTTTCAAAACAAAAATATAGGTATATACTAAAAGTTTAGGATGGACTTTAATTCTTAAAATAATTTCCATGAGTTTTGGAAACTTGGTTTACTTGACTTTAGATTTCAGGTGGTTTTCCTAATGCAGCACATTACTTCCTAATTGCTCCTCTCTCTGCTAACACAATCCCTTCCCACACCGTGGACTGATACCAAAAGTGAATTAATATTCCACACTGTGGCAATGTGAAAGGAGATACATAGCAATTACATAAGTAACTCTTCTCAATTCCTTCTGTGTGGCCAGGAAACTGCTAGAACGTAATAAAATGAAAGCTATTGCAAATATGTGTAGAAATAATCAGCAGTAGACAATGGAAGTAACTACCCACAAGAGTGTAATTCCAGGAGTGCCGAGATGACTCCTTCCCGTGGGACCCTCAGGTTTCTCATTTGTGGTTTGGTCTCGGTTAAAAGCAAGCGTGGGTTTGTGCCTTGTCACTAAATATGCCTATTTTCCATAAATGCTGTTCCCTGCTGTCAAAGTCAAG